TGATATAATACCATTTGTGCATATGTATGTATGCATAATACTTCCACAAATCACATGGATAAAGCATATTTAGATTTTTTAATTCAACATGTCATTTAAAAAAAAAAACATATATAGGCATACACACAGATTTTTGATTAATGGATACTCACTGGCACGTTCTGATGCCCACACATACACTGGCCCACAATGATCCATACTGACACACATACAATGATCCATACTGACACACACATACAGTGACATATATTGACACATACAGTCATCCATACTGACACACACAAACAGTGATCCACACTGAAACACACACAGAGACAAACACAGTGATCTATACTGACACAAACATTGATCCATACTGATTCACATACACAGTGATCCATACTGACACACACACACAGTGATCCATACTGACACTCACACACACACACAAACTAATCCATACTGACACACACAGAGTAATCCATACTAACACACACAGTAATATATACATATACATTGATCCATACATTGGTCCATACTAACACTCACACATAGTAATCCATACTGACACAAACATTAATCCATACTGACACTCACACACAGTAATCCATACATTGATCCATACTGACACATATATTGATCCATACTGACACAAACATTGATCCATATTGACAATCACATACAGTAATCCATACTGACACATACATTGATCCATACTGACACTCAAACACAGTAATCCATACTGATACATAATTTGATCCATACTGACACTCACACACAGTAATCCATACTGATACATACATTGATCCATACTGATCAGTGGCGGATCCAGGGGGGGGGGGCAACGGGGCAATTGCCCCCCCCCGAGAAATCCAACGGTCTCCCTCTTCCTCCCCTGCCAGCCCTGCAATGTGCCTGCGGACCGGAGGGGAGATCAGAGCTCTCCCTCCCCGGTCCGCAGGCACTGTGCTGGCGGCCAGTGGGGGAGGGAGTGAGAGAGAGGACCCGGAGCTCAGGCTGCAGCTCCTCCGGGTCCTTCTCTCGCGAGATTTGGAGCGTTGCTGCGGTTACCACGGCAACGCTCCAAATCTCGCGAGAGTGAACTCTAGCCCGGGAGCGCGGGCTAGAGTTCACTCTCACCACCTGACCACCAGGGAATTACCACTGGGACCACCAGGGAAATGCCCCCCCTCCTCCCAGTAAAGGTAAGAAGGGAGGGGGGGCATAGAATATATATTTTTTTAATTAAATTAAAAAATATTATATTATAAAAAAAAGCCACCCTACCCTGATCACTCACACACATACATTGCCCCCAATACTGCCCCCCCATTCACACAAACTGCCCCCCCATTCACACACACAAACTGCCCCCATTCACACACAAACTGCCCCCATTCACACACAAACTGCCCCCCATTCACACAAACTGCCCCCCATTCACATACATACACTGCCCCCACATACACACACTGCTCCCCCATACACACATACTGCCCGCCATACACACACACTGCAATACTCACACACACTGCAACCGTTACACACACTGCATCCCTGACAAACACTGCCGCCCTCACTCACACACTACAACCTTCACACACACACACACTGCACCACTCACACACACCACTGCTCCTATACCCTACTACAGCCCCATTTCCCAGCAGATCTCAGGTAAGTTGTCAAACTGTTCTTAAACGGTTTGACTACTTACTGTGGGAGGGGGTCCCGGCACTATTGACACCATAACCACTACACTGAGCTGTAGTGGTTATTGTGTCTGGATTATTTCTTTAAATAATCTACAAGTGCCCCTCCCGAGATCAGGCTCTGGATCCGCCACTGATACTGATACAAACATTGATCCATACTGACACATACATTGATCCAAACTGATACTCACACACAGTAATCCATACTGACAGATACATTGATCCATACTGACACACACATAATACCTTCAAAAACACCTCCCACACACTATTACACAATCAAATATACACACCCTAAGAATCTTGGAAATGAACATAAAATATCTGGGTGCCACTGCTCACTGAGCCCACCTTGCTCCTTGATCTGTGCTCAGCTCCTGGCTGAGAAGCGGCCTGCCTGCAGCTCTGTCCGGCCCCCTGCTCACTCCTCTCCCTGCCTGCAGCTCTGTCCGGCCCCCTGCTCACTCCTCTCCCTGCCTGCAGCTCTGTCCAGCCCCCTGCTCACTCCTCTCCCTGCCTGCAGCTCTGTCCGGCCCCCTGCTCACTCCTCTCCCTGCCTGCAGCTCTGTCCGGCCCCCTGCTCACTCCTCTCCCTGCCCGCAGCTCTGTCCGGCCCCCTGCTCACTCCTCTCCCTGCCTGCCAGCACTTTACACACAGGAAGCAAAATGTCAGAGGACCCGCGTGGGCTGCCCTGCTCTGCCTGATTACCAGGTCACATGCTTCATGTGTGTGAAGGCTGTCAGGCAGGCACCAGGACTACCTCCCCTGCTCCTTATGCTTCACTCGCGAGCAGCATTGAAAGTTTACTTTGGAGTGCCTGCTGCTCGGTTTGCCAGTGACATGCAGAGCAGGGCTGAAAAGATTGGCAGAGTATTCCTCAGGGCTTAGACAAGTATTGCCCAGTAAACAGAACTATAAAGTCCAATTTAGGCTCAGTGTGAGCGTTTCCCTGAGAAGCTCCAGCACCCTGCCACTGTCTCGGTCAGCTGTCAGGCCCTGCCCCATTTACAGACAATAGGATTTTTAAATATATATTTTTTAATTTTAAAATTGACACTAGGTTTTATCTGAGATGATTAATATGTCATTGAATTTGCATAGGTATTATTGGTTACTAATATGTGTTATTCTTATTCCTCAGCCCTTTTTTTTTTTAAGCTTTGTTTGCAATACTTGGTCTGGCTTCATTGTGGTCTCCACCTGGAACAAACCTATGGTGATTGGATTCACACCACACTTTAATACTTGAGGCATCATCTTCTACTAGCTGAGTTCCAACTGGCCACTCACTTCTCTCTTCAAACATGGCTCTTTTGCGCTTCCCCTTTTTTTCATTGTGGTGATTTTGATCTATCTGGCTGAGTTTTGCGGTGTCTTTTCCCTCTACAGACACAGAGAGAAGCTCATAGGGCACGTTTTTTTCCACTGATGCTACTGACTTTTTTTGTTTCCTTTTATTTGGATAAATCCCCTATTCTGAACTTGAAATGACTCTTACTCCCCATTTTACATAGTACAAGATAGAAAAGGAAAATTATTACAATCTGTTATTCTAAAACTCTTTCAATTCTTATTTTTATTTCTTTATGCTCCTCATTCTGGATAGTTTGTAAGCTGTTTTGGTTCATTGGGACATAGGACCTTTGAGTGAGCACCCTATCTTTGTTTTTGCTGAGATATTTTGATGTAATTCATATAGTTTGCCTACCTTTCTAAATCAGATTGTATAACAATTCTATCATTCCCATGTTTTCCTATCAACACTAACCTATCCATACCAAGGTTGTACTTTGCCATATTTCAAGCCCAGAACCTTTTAATGAATATGGTCACCAACAGGACTCACTACAAGTGGATTCATCCACTACTTTGTTGGCCAAACCTGTTGCAATCTGATTACGCTGTTTCCCTCTAATTTATCTCACATAACGAGTGCTTTCAGTCTATTGTGAACTATTCTCTCTGATGAAGAGTTTTCAAAGGTAGTAATGTAATAGTACGTTTGTGATGTTCTAGCATTTCTTCAAAGTTTTACTAACTAGCAATGCAAACTCCAGTATGCTAACAAGAAATTCCTTTTCTGGATATGGGCCTGTCACATGTGCAATGTTGAATCAAAATGTGTGTCAGAAGTCAGATAATCATTGTAATAACTGTTCTGGCCTTGTTCTAGCTAACTTTATTTCATTTTCATATCTACTTTATTATGTAAATGGATTGATTTCTGATATTTAAGACCTTTCTCAATGCTTTCCTATGGACGCTCTGCATGATGGATGCGTAATTCGCATCCAGCATCGCAGATGCGCCTCTAGCGGCTGTCAGGAAGACAGCCACGAGAGGCTGGATTAACCCTGCTATGTAAACATAGCAGTTTCTCTGAGCAGTTTTACCTTTGAAGGGTTAAAACCTGAGGGACCTGGCACCCAGAACACTTCATTGAGCTGTAGTGGTCAGGGTGACTATAGTGTCCCTTTAATAAACAGATCAGATCATAAAGAGTTAAACTTTGTTTGCAATACTTGGTCTGGCTTCATTTTGGTCTCCACCTAGAACAAACCTATGGTGATTGGATTCACACCACACTTTAATACTTGAGGCATCATCTTCTACTAGCTCAGATCCAACTGGCCACTCACCTCTCTATTCAAACATCTCTGTTGCTCTTCCCCTTTTTTTCATTGTGATTTTGATATATCTGGCTGAGTTTTGTGGTGTCTTTTCCTTCTACAGGCATAGAGAGAAGCTCATAGGGCACGTTTTTTTCCACTGGTGCTACTGACTTTTTTTGCTTCCTTTTTTTTGGATAAATCCCCTATTCTGAACTTGAAATGACTCTTACTCCCCATTTTACGTAGTACAAGATAGAAAAGGAAAATTATTACAATCTTTTATTCTAAAACTCTTTCACTTCTTATTTTTATTTCTTTATAGATATGGAATAATGTAATTTTGGCAACTCAGAATTGGCATTGTAGAATTGGCTAATATTGCATGGCCATTAGGAATGGCAACATTGCAGCCATTGTTTGCATGTCAGCCAGTTATAAGCACTCATGTTTAATGCTTTTATGGCTGTCCACATGGTTTTCAAAGAGCAACATGAACTAAAATCTCTTGACCTCAAAGATATTTTTATTTTCTGCCTAATTGCTTTGGAAGAACCAAAGATTTTCCCCTTTCCCCAAATCTAACGCCTAGGCATTACTGGCAATGTTAATACTACAGGGTGCATGGCATGTGCATTTAAGTGATTTAAAAAAAATAGATTTTATTTTGATTTTGTTACATAGATGTTAATTTGTTTAGGACCAATTCGCAATCCAGTCAAAGTCTCTGAAATCTTCCTGCTCTTTTTCTGTAAGTTCCTTAGTCCCGTTTGGAGGTGTTAAGATGGGATCTTCTGATTTATACTCATCGAAATTCCTAACATCTTCAATTCCATCGATGGTTGGTATAAAGGGGGGCTTCACATTCTTAGCTAATAATTCATCCCAGTCTATCTCCTGTTAACAAATTAACAAATTAAACATTTTAGTGGAAGACAGTGGTTTCGACAAAGATAACGAATATGCATCATTAAGTCATAAAATTAAGATGAAAAATATAGACTGGCAAAAATGTGAAAAACAAAATTCTACACAAGTTACAATGTAATTCACAAATCCATTATTAAAGTCAACGGATAGGATTACACGTGCATTCATTAGTGGAAGAAAGTAGTTTTGACGAAGATAAATCATTTGTATCATTTGTAACACATGCAAATACAGGTGACATTTTACATTGGCCGTTTAATGCCTTCACGGGCATGAATTTAATGCAAATATACATAAGTACATAAATTTAAATAAGCATCCAAATGAACTAATGTTTATTTAGGTGTTAGAATGTAGGTTTCCACAGATGTGACATGTGACAATTTCACTTGGAACTAAAAACAAGATTGAGGTAGAATATACCATTCCCCTCTATATACCTATGGCTGGTAGATGAACAAAATGGACTTACTTGAAAGAATGGATTCCACTTTACATCTTCTGCGTCATATTCACTTGCCCCTAGACGGTCCTCTGGATTTATGTTGAGAAACTGTAAAAAACATATTTTTTTTTCTTAAAATGGCTCTTGGTATTTTGATTAAAATAAATAAATAAATTAAAACAAAATTGCAAGCAGTTTATCCAGATAATGTACTGTCCTGATTACTATGATTCCTCTTGCTACTGTTTTTTTAATCAAAATGAGTCTCCAAACATAACATTATTCTGTATCTTTTTGTAGCTAGATCTGTATGTGTGTGTAACTGCCTGTCCCACACTCTTATAGTCAACCACACTGTGCTCTCTAAAATCCAAGTTAAAAACACTAAACGTGCATTGGCAACATACATCTTCGATTACATCGATGGTTTCTACAGACAGGACAGACATGAACTCCGGACAGCTGAATCTGCGATTGATGATGTTATTTATCTTTTCAAATTCATCTTCGCCGTCAAAAGGAGTCTAAAGTAAATAAAATTAAAATAAATAAATCTGATGAATTATCTTGTTGATAAACACACATTGGTATATAGTGTTTTGCTTGTCGAGTCAGGATTCCGTCCATTAATTCTTAATAAACTATTCTTACCACTCCTGCCAGCATTGTATATATTAGCACTCCCAGACTCCACCAATCCACAGCTTTGGTGTAACTTTCGTGCTTGAGGATTTCGGGAGCCATGTAATCTAGTGTTCCACAATGACTTGTGGTTCGTTCTCCATATCCGATTCCTCAGAGAGAGACAAAAGTTAATTATATTTAAATTGAAGATGTACATTCCCTGCCTTTAAAGTAACACTATAGGGTATTCCTGATCCAATAGTGTTAAAACCACCATTTAAGTGGTTTAACCCTCCCCTCCCCCACCCATAGCCTTTAGAAAGGGTTAAAACCTCTATCCAGCACCGCAAGGGTCTGCCAGAGCTGACCCCACCCCAATCCACCTCTGGCTAACATCAGAATTGATTATTTCAGCCAAGGAGGTGGGCTAGGGGCGGGGTCAAAAGTCGACCTGGCCAATCCCCATCTCCTCATAGAGATGCAGTGAATCAAAGCATCTCTATTAAGAACATGGAGATGCTGAACGACACTGCTGCACTCTGAGGAGTGGCCACTGGAGGTGTCCCTGGGCTTAAATGTAAACACCGCCTTTTCTCTGAAAAGTCAGTGTTTGCATGAAAATACCCACAGGGCCTGTCTATAGGAACCGAACAACTACAATGAGCTGTAGTTGTTTTGGTGATTATAGTGTCCCTTTAAGTTACATGCCCGTACATCTGTCAGTTAGGCATTTGTGCATTAGAGCCGCTGAATATTTTTGTATAGTTTTTTTCTTGTTACATTTTTTTAAAGTAATTTCCTGAGATCTAATCCACATATTGGTTTGTTCAATGATCCCTTGTTACAAAGTATATTATCATTTGTGCTTTTGATATCTTTTTGTGTATGTACTTTTAATTATGTACAGAATTAGATTATGTTTGAATGTGGCTAAGTTTAAATGTGGGATTTATTCACAATTGTAATTTATTTTTTGATTACCTTTGTATGCCTGGCTATCCTGGCACATTTAGGGCACACTATGTAAATTAACTTGCAATATGACCACTACAGTTCAGGTCCTTTCATGTGGTCTAAAGTCTGTTGGCGCCATATCCCAGTTTTATGTCAAACCATTTAGAATTAGTTTGAAACCAATTTTTGCTCTCCATATCCTCAACTGCCACATTGGTAATGTGGAATTAACAGTTCTGTATAATCATTGTCTAGATCTATTTCCCTTAGAGCATTTTGGCTATTTTTTCTACTTTAATATTGCATGTTTGTTTTTGTACTAAAATCATGTTTTGTGTTAAAATCGGACTAGATAAAAGGACCAAAAAAGCAATTTTGACATTTTCAAAGTCTTAATCGCTGTTTAGGAAACAAGCACACATTAGTTTTTATGCTGAATTTCAAGGATATCATTTTATATGTGTAAAGCCAGCACTGATGTTACAGAGGCATTCGTTAATTTATCAAATATCTATGTATAAATGTAAAATGATATCTACCTTCCTTACTAATACCGAAGTCAGTTATTTTTGCAAATCCTTCCTTATCCACAAGTATATTCTCTAATTTAAGATCCCTAGATTAAAATGCAGAAAAATGTTTTTAATAATGTTTACATAATTCTAGAGGACACTTGGATGCAGGTATTAATGGGTTTCCTAGTTTAGGCTTTTAAAAAGGTTACATTTAAAATCATAACATAGAAAAACAGGTTTAAGCACAGGCAGTGCTTTACACTTACCTGTGGATAATCTTTTGGGAATGCAAATATTCCAAGCCAAGCACAACACAAGCAGCATAAAATCTATGGGGAATAAAAGAAACGCGTTGGTTACTTTTAAGATGATTAAAAAATGCAATCTTTGTACTATTGAAAAGTTATTTTCCACAAATCCTTCATCACTCTATGGTCTGACATGGCGACTTTTAATGTAAGACTCTCAGCCAGTCCATATTGACTAAAGTTGGTTATGCTATTGCAGAAGTATAAAATTCTTCTGTTGTATAGAATGGAAAGACCGTGGGACCTGGACAGTCAGGTAAATGTAAAATAACGATTATCTTTCCCAATAAACTAACTAGACTCTATGGAATTTATTGCCTACCTCAATGCCAGCAGCTGCTAAACACTGCATTACAGGTTTAGAAATATGGGCACAATGCTGCCTATACTTACGTCGCTCTGGGCTCTGTTAATGCACCGTTGCTGTTGTAAACGTTTGTAACAAGGTCCCCGCCAGGAGTGTATTCCATGACAAAGCAGGCATGATATGTGGTCTGGAAACAACCAAACAGGTTTACCAGAAATGGATGGCGCATGCTGCTTACAGATTGGAAAATGTGCTTCTCACTCATAAGACTGGATAAGGAACAATAAGTCAATTATTTCCCTGATCTCCAAAAAATCATAACAAATAAAATAAAACAGGATAAGGTATGAATAGCTCTGTTTACTAACCGGTGGACCTTTTTTGTTGAAACGATGTCTCCTTTTTTCAGGGCTTTTAGGGCATAGATTTTCTCAGTGTCCTTGTGTTCAGCAAGGAACACCTAAAATTAAAAACAAAGGTATGCGTGTGTTCTTATTTTGCATCAATTCATTAAAGTTTGGTACAGCAGAATTGTATTTTGTTTCTGCCCTGTCATTTTTATTTTGCTTCTTTCCTTTGAAGACTTTTTTTGTGTTTAGATCACAATTTTGGGGGTAGTCTGTATATAAAAAATACATTTAGCAAATCTTCACCTATCTTTCCGACAAACGTTTCCAACTACATCATTGTGATGGATTTTCTGTCTGACAAAATTACAGTATCCAACTGACAAATTTTGCGATTAAAAATAAAATAAAAAAACAGACCTCTTTAGAAAAATGTACTGGCTTATACATATAAATGTAGCACATTCGTTAAATGTAGATGTTTTAAACACTTTGATACACAAACAAAAGCAAAAAAAATATTCTGTTCTAATGCATTTGCTAAGACACTTTTTCTCGAAAGAGTATTTGTATTCATGCTTAAACTTACTTTCCCGAATTTTCCTCTACCCAGCACACAGCGAAGATCGAAGTCTTCCAGGCTGAGTTGACATTCTGGCTCAATATTGCCAGATGCTGGAAGCACGCTGTTATCGGGTTCTTTTGTTGTTTCTGAGATTATGCTTAGCGACGTTAATTTATTAAAGCATGGATATTCATTGCTTGCTCCAGAATCCTAGGAAAAAAAACATACGCCATAATTTAAAGTTGTTATTTCCCCCCCCCCTCCGTGACAATTGTTGCCTTTGGTCCATGGGTTTGTAATGGTGGGTCTAAAACATTGATTAATAAATAAATGAAGTCGGGAATAGCAGACAAACGAAGAGGAAGCAGGGTATGTTGGAAAATAACTGGAGAAGCAATGTGTGTGGGAGAATTATGAAGAAGAAACAGAGGATGGAGTGATAAAGTGGTGGTGATTTTAGAGGCAAAGACTATAGTCATTAAAACTCTTGTATCTGATGCTTCAGGGCAAATGGAAGAATTAAACCACCTACAAAATAAAATGTACATTTCACATATTGGGCTCTGGCTGTACTGATTGTATGTTTGACTCCTGATCATTATAAGTCGACATTGTTTACGAGCGGCAAATGAAGAATTAAAAACAAAAACAATGGTTGTGATAGTGGACAAAGATTGAGTGTGTTTACGTTTTTCACAATATCTCACAAATCATTTGCCAGGGATTATCAGGACTTCAGTAATCTAAATTTTCTTTAATGACTAGGTTTGCGTGAATGTGCAGGGAAAAGAACAAAACAAAAAAAAGCGTATAGCTTTACCTGAGCCGGTATATCTGTTCTCTCAGTGTGTCCTGAAGATTGATGTTGATCACCATGTGCAGGTGTTGGAGATGGAATAAGAAGTGTCTCCAATGTTACATCAGTGACATCAGTTTCTGGAACTGATGCAGTTGTTTCACCCTAGAAAAAAAAGACATACACCATAAATTAAATTCCCCCCACCCCCTCTCCCCCAATGACCATTGTGGCCTTTGGTCCATGGGATTGTAATGGTGGGTCTGAAACATTGATTCATAAATAAATGAAGTCGGGAATAGCAGACAAACGAAGAAGAAGCAGGGGATGTTGGAAAATAACTGGAGAAGCAATGGGTGTGGGAGAATTATGAAGAAGAAATGGTGGATGGAGTGATAAAGTGGTGGTGATTTTAGAGGCAACGACTATAGTCATTAAAACTCCTGTATCTGATGTTTCAGGACAAATTGAAGAATTAAACTACCTACAAAATAAAATGTACATTTTACATATTAGGCTCTGGCTGTACTGATTGTACGTTTGACTCCAGATTACTATAAGTCGACAATGTTTACGAGCGGCAAATGAAGAATTAAAAACAAAAACAATGGGTGTGATAGTGGACGAAGAAGCGAGTGTGTTTAAGTTTTTCACAATATCGCACAAATCATTTGCCAGGAATTATCAGGACTTCGGTTATCTAAATTTTCTTTAATGACGAGGTTTGTGTGAATGTGTGGGGAAAAGAACAAAACAAAGAAAGAAGCGTATAGCTTTACCTGAGCCGGTATATCCGTTCTCTCAGTGTGTCCTGAAGACTGATGTTGATCATCATGTGAAGGTGTTGGAGATGGAATAGGAGGTGTCTCCAATGTTACATCAGTGACATCAGTTTCTGGAACTGGTGCAGTTGTTTCACCCTAGAAAAAAAAATACATACACCATGAATTAAATTCACTTATCCAACCTCCCCCCAATGACAATTGTGGCCTTTGGTCCATGGGATTGTAATGGTGGGTCTGAAATTGATTAATAAATAAATAAAGTCGGGAATAGCAGACAAACGAAGAGGAAGCAGGGTATGTTGGAAAATAACTGGAGAAGCAATGGATATGGGAGAATTATGAAGAAGAAACAGTGGATGGAGTGATAAAGTGGTGGTGATTTTAGAGGCAGCGCCTATAGTTATTAAAACTCCTGTATCTGATGCTTCAGGATAAATTGAAGAATTAAACTACCTACAAAATAAAATGTACATTTTACATATTGGGCTCTGGCTGTACTCATTATACGTTTGACTCCAGATCACTATAAGTAGTCATTGTTTACGAGCGGCAAATGAACAACCATGGGTGTGATAGTGGACGAGGTTTGCGTGAATGTGTGGGGAAAAGAACAAAACACAAAAAAAAGCATATAGTTTTACCTGAGCCGGTATATCCGTTCTCTCAGTGTGTCCTGAAGACTGATGTTGATCACCATGTGAAGGTGTTGGAGATGGAATAGGAGGTGTCTCCAACGTTACATCGGTGACATCAGTTTCTGGAACTGGTGCAGTTGTTTCATCTTTATTAATAAAGTTTTCTTGGTCAATTAGTGCCTGCAAACGTTCTATCTCATTCTCGATGTCTTCAAGCTTTTCCTGCAATGCCTCAAGATATTTAAGGTTTTCTGGAGGGCCTTTGGAATATGCCAGGAACATATTCTCTGCACCTCGCTTCACCTTAAGCTCAATTTCGAGCTGTTTTTGCAGTGCAGTTAAATTCCCATTGTCTGCATGGGCACTTGGGTCACCTTCAAGAGCAACTGAGGTCTTGGAAGTTACTGGAAAATTAGTAATAAGACAAAACGTAAATTAGAAATGCTGGCAGCTGGTACTATTCTGTCCAAGTTAAATTAAATTAAAAAATGTACGTAAGCTACTTTTGTTGACACAAAAAGCATCAATCTAGGATCTAAAGTAATTTTTGCTACACAAACCCGATAGTCACGGGTGTAGCGTGGGCTGGGCCACAGGGCCGCTTGCCCTGGGCGCAAAATTCTTTGGGGTCCTAAAGTTCAAAAGAAAAAAAAGAAAGGAGTAGTAATACATTTTAAAAAATAGCGCGCCCTCCCAATCACCCAGAAAATCTCCCAATGTTAAAACATTATACAGTTTTTCAGCATGACAGGGCAAATAAACATCACTACATCACATTTTACAGTAGTTTGCTTGCTAATCACAGCCATACTGTCCTTCTGCAATTCTTATCGGTGAATTACATAATGCCTATTAATAACGTGATTTCCTGTTTAAAGATAACACCAGAAATCACTCTTTAATAGGCATTATGTAAATGCCCATTACATGTTATCATAAAAGTATGCCAGTAACGGGCGCCTAGATATTCTCACTCCTCTTCCCTGCCCGCCTCATCTCCATGATGTGTGTGTGGCACTGAGAGATGTGTTGCGTCATTTTTAAAATCCACCTCACGCCTAAAGTAATATGTATAGACTAGGGTTAGAGGGTGCAATACATGCCTTGCCACAGGTGCTGACAATCCATGTTATGCCACTGCCTATACCACCCGTTATCCTGCACCAACCCTGTTAACTCTACATTCATTCTAACAGTACACTACCCTAGCCTTAACCCTATATTATCCCTAACCCACCCTTTAACCTCACCCTACACTAACACTGAGAAAGCCAGGTAGATTTTGGCCTGCATCCATTAGCTATCAAAAGTGGCAGGATTGCAGCTAGTACCTGTATGGGTGTTAACTTGCCTTACTCCTTCCCAATGAGCGCTATTAATTATGTAAGAGAGTAACAGAGTTATATCACGAGGTATGCCACTCATTCATTTTAGAGGAACTGTTAAATTTCCCAAATAGAGGAGAAGAGATAGTACACATGTAGCAAAGGCAGTGTTGCAGAGAATGTAACACTAAACTGGAACCGAACATGTCGGCTCTTATCAGACTGTAGGAGGGTAACGCGGCAAGTTAAAGACTGGTTCAGTCTCCATGGAGGTAGATATAAACATTTTATAATGTACCTGAACGTTCCTCTGCTCTTTGCTCAACATCATCAGATTTATTGCGTCTTGTGCGCTGAAAAGACAGAAACAAAATCAGAAAACAAAAACCATTTTGCAAGAACGTTGCAAACACTTTGATGAAACAAACTCAGCATATATAGAGTCCATTCCCTCGCTGCCACATGGGTCTGTGATACAGTTTAAATTATTATAAGTGACCTCAAATACAGACATTAGTTTACTTAAAGCAAGATACCACTAAGATACCGTAATAATTATGGCACCCCTCCAAACCATATTCTTAATGGTATTACTTATTCTCTGGGGTTCTCAATTCATTGTCCCACAACTCCTCTCACCTTTAGGCTCCTTGTCAATATATATCCCAAAACAACAGTGGACATGTACCATATACTATTATTATAATTATTAAATTCTAATCTCATATACAATTAGCCGTAGAGACCGAGAAAAGATAGCTCCCACCAAAATGCATTTAAAGAGTTTCTTTGTACACCAGACCACTTCAGTTTTATGAAGTGGTCATGGTGTTTGAAGTCTGTATGCACAGCATTTCGGTATAAATACAGAACTATTTTATAATTCTGCTGTGTACGTTATTAGTACGCCATTAGCCAGTACCTTTAAGTGAAATGGTGGGCTTATGGCTACAAATGTATTTAACTATAAAGAACAAAGTAAAATGGGGAGTCCATAGGCTGCCATGGGAATTTAAACATAAAATATTAAGTTAAGGGGTTCACAGAACTAGTGTTGTTTGTGTTAACATTTTAGAGCTCCCAGTTAATGGTAAGTAAATTGGTAACCTTTGGTCCATTTTGTAGAGGCTAACTAATACAGAGAGAATATTTCCAAGCTCTTTTCAGTTTATTTTAAAATTTACATCCACTTGCTGTTTGGTGAATAAACGTCTTAGTGATTTAGGCTACCGTTGTCTTATAGCATTTGAATATTTTTAGTTTCCTTTGTAGTATATATGCTAAAACTACAGTGCACATGCACCATGTACTAGTATAATAGAATTTGAAGCATTCTAATTCTAATCACATGTACTATTAGCTGTAGGAAAGATAGCTCCTACCAAAATGTATTAAAAAAATTCCTTCAAGCACCTTACCACTTCAGTTATATGAAGTGGTCATAGTGCTTGAAGACTGTATGCGCAGCATTTCAGTAGAACTATTTAATAAGGCTGCTGGAGGTGTACATTATTAGTACGTCATTAGCCAGTACCTTTAAATGAAATGGCTTATGGCTTAAACACGTTTTAAAAATATATTTAACTTCCTCATTTTGTAATATTGTAAACTGCTGCGATATAAGCTGGCGCTATATAAATGCCAATAATAACTTTAAAGAACAAAAAAAAAAAAAAGGGAGTCCATAGGCTGCCATGGGAATTTAAACATAATATAATAAGTTAAGGGGTTCATAGAACTAGTGTTGTTTGGGTTAACATTTTAGAGCTCCCAGTTAATGGTAAGTATAAGAAACAAAGAAATCTACTTACTTTTCTAAAGCACAAGCATCGGAAACAAGAGAAAATATTTCTCGCTTCCATTTTTAGTTACTTGATCACTACAAAAGCTAAGCAGTGTCGACTGTCCAAGCAATGTCTAGTGAATACTGTGAACTGTGGTCATCAGGCATGATGCTGCAATGATATCACTATGATGTTACACAGGTCACAGGTCCACACCTCACCAGCGTGTCATAATACACAATCTATCAAATCTGATTATTGAAGAATCTATGTTTAAATATGGATATACTATATTATTATATAACATTTAGAGGTCCATTCATTAAACTGTGAATTGTAATACATTGAAAAAACAACATGAAAGATCTAGACTAAAATCTAGGGGACACATTGGTAACCTTTGGTCCATTTCTAGATCTAATAAAATAGTTTAGCTTTGTAGTGACAAGAAAACAAGAGTCTAATGCACACTATAAAAAGGAGTACTTCCTGCATGGTGCTCTAGAAAGGGAGAGAAGAAAGGAATATTATCCTTTTATTAGGAACAAATATAGTGGAGACAACGATTTTGTTTTACACACTAGTGTTTTGGGGTGTTGACTCTCACCAGTTTTTACATATTAGAAATGGATCATTAAAAGTTAAGTTTTAATATTCACGCATTAAGGTTGCACGTTAAAGGGACTCTCCAGTGCCAGGAAAACAATCCATTTTCCTGGCACTGCAGGTCCCCTCTCCCTCCCACCCCAGATCCCCGGTTGCTGAAGGGGTGAAGGAATGGATCCACAGATTGAAACGTTAGTACCTTTGCATCTTGGATTTAGATACTTTGGCATTTATGGAATAGTCATAATGTTTTAAAGGGTACTTATTTTAGATTCACTTTTTTTCTTGTGGTAAATATTATTTGGTTGAAACATAAGACTTTGTTGAACCTGTCAATAAAACAGCAAGGGACTTGCATGTCCTAAATACACGTATTTGATAAAGGCCTCTGTGTAGGCCTTTTTGTTCCAATAGACCTGCCTTACTGCAGCAATCCTGAGTGGCTGGACCTAATTTATTTTACCTTCTAAACCGGGTTTTGCCAACCCTGGCCCTGATAAGCACCTGGATTCCCAAGTGTGAGTGCGGTATCCTCCGTCTGTGAATTACTAAATATACATATGCCAAATAGAGAACACATAAGTCTTAACATAGACATGATTTTAAATTCACTGAGTGATAGTTATTTTTGTCATTTTCTTTTTTTTTTCTTAGATTTCAGATTTTAGCAGGTCATAACTGTTCAGTCAAGAGGATTTTGTTTTCTGTTTTTTTTATTGAGACATTGTATTAGGCAATACAGAATAAAGAGAGAAGTATCATGCAAATATACAGACATAAATAATGCAGAAGATGTATATACTCCCGGGCAAACAGTGTCATATTGTTTGTTTGTTTTTTTGTGAAATAAACAAATGTAAAAACATGCTGAACATAATAGAGTAAAGTAAAAGCAGGCTAGTTCCAGTAGCTAAATCATGTAAATACCTCAAGGTTGATAGGCAAGGTTATAGCAGTCAGGTCACAGTACTAGGAGTTAGGTCACAGTGTTAACTACACTATGAGATATCAGCCAAACTGCCATGAATGCCCCTATGCCCTTCAATTACTAAAAAAACAGTTTTTAGTAATTTAAGTGTAGGGGTTACCCCCCCATTATAATTTAGCAACCTGATATACTCTCTCTACTTCCTGTCTCTCCATCTTTGCAGCCCCTATGCCCTTCAGCTAATGCCCAAAGATGTATAGTCACAGCCCCCCCTCTTTACAGTGTTCTCAGAGAAGCCCCCACAAGGAGCCCCATCCGCCAGAAGGTCCGCTTCGATCAGCTCCAAAAAAGTTATCATGTGTGCAGAAATTGCTTGTGTCTGCGGTGTTGTTCCCCCTGTGCGCCTAGCCGCACGAAGTGGAAGTCTCCGGTTCGGGCCGGTCCCGCTGGGAGTAAAGGGGCTTGTTAATTTGCAGGCAAGGTAAGCGGTAGTGAGCAGACAAGCGTGTATTGCTTTGATGTGGAGACACGTGGTAGAGATATATGTACTTGGAAATGGTCCACAGGACAGCTCGGGGGGTTCATTAACAGGAAAGTAGGCGAGTTCCCTGCTGTAGAGCTTCCCACAAAATAGATAGCCGATGCGTTCAACTGCCAGGAGTATTGGTTCCACAAACGTGGGTGGTGTGCTCATGGCAAGTCTGGGGTAGTGACCATTTTGGTTGATAGGCCTCAACTCCTTAACTGGCGGTAAAGTAGCAAAACCTGGTGAGGTGGATGTATCAGAACACTAGTGAGCAGGGCCGGATTGGGAATAAAAAGCAGCCCTGGAGAAATGTTATACCAGCCCTATCATTAATTGTGCCAGCTGTGACAGATGTACAGTTACAATTATTTAACCAACAAGAAGGAGCGCACTCTTAAATAAACTTAAAATAAACAAAAGAGCTGTTTTATTCTAATCACATGTGCAACATCTTACTTCAACGTTTCATCCTTATAATTTTGAAAGGTCCAGTAATGGGAATGAAACATTGACTGAATGCTGCTACACGTCTGATTTAAATAAATGTTATTTTGTTTAGTCCTCAGTCCTATGAGTGCACTCTTCGTTGTATGTAGTTTGGCAGGGTTATCCACTAAACTAATAATTTTTGTGAATTAAAAATGTAAATTGTAAAATTTAGGCTACAATAGTCAAGGTGTCACTATTCCCATTTTGAAATTTTGTTTAAAATCCGCTATTTTGGTTTAAATTATGAAATTTAGATTTTCACTTTTTAAAATTTAAAATATTAGTAAAAACCCTTCGGCAAATGTCAAACCCTTCTTACATTATATATATATATACATATATATATATATATACATATATATATATATATATGTGTGTGTGTGTGTGTGTGTAATTTCCAAGTGTATTATGGATAAATATATTATATATTATAAACATAATTAATAAAATTATGCTTGTGATATATATATATATTGTTGTGGACAGAATATTAACTCTACTAAATTCTTGTAAAATGCCTATTTACTTTGCATAGCTATAACCAATATTAATCGTAATCTACTTAAAGGACCACTATAGTGCCAGGAAAACATACTCGTTTTCCTGGCACTATAGTGCCCTGAGGGTGCCCCCACCCTCAGGGACCCCCTCCCGCCCGGCTCTGGAAAGGGGAAAGGGGTTAAAACTTACCTTTTTCCAGCGCTGGGCGGGGAGCTCTCCTCCTCCTCCTCCTCCGTTCCTCCTCCTGGGCTGAATGCGCACGCGCGGCAAGAGCTGCGCGCGCATTCAGCCCGTCGCATAGAAAGCATTTACAATGCTTTTCTATGGACGCTTGCGTGCTCTCACTGTGAAAATCACAGTGAGAAGCACCACTGTCAATGAGACAGCCACTAGAGGATGGGGAAGGCTTAACCCATTCATAAACATAGCAGTTTCTCTGAAACTGCTATGTTTATAAAAAAATGGGTTAACCCTAGAAGGACCTGGCACCCAGACCACTTCATTAAGCTGAAGTGGTCTGGGTGCCTAGAGTGGTCCTTTAAGATGGCCGCTAGGGAGTTTCCCCTGTCATCGACTAACACCCTCAATTAACAAGATGGTGCTGGAATCTGGAGGAGAGCTCCATGAAGTCAGTGACGTCACACCCGGTAGGATGAGCAATTGATGAACCACTTAACACCTAACCAATTATTGATGTATTTTCTTCTGTTATCTATAATTATGCATATGATGTGTTACTGCCTTATAAAGGGCCTACCAGCCCCCCGGAATAAACATTCCTGACTTTTTCATTAACCTAGAAACTTCTGTCTGGTGTGAATTACTCAGGAAGCGTGCACGCACTATCTAATTGATTTGGAAAGGGGCAGATACACAAATTTATCAAATCTTTGTTTTGATCCACAACAATTTTGGTGCCCAACATGGGGCACCGCAGATTCCCCGGACCGGAAGGCCGGAAAATGGGACCGGAGCGGACCCTCAGAAACGGGACCGGAGATTGATCACCTCTAAAGATATATACGGTAATTACCAATATTTTCCTGTGTTGTGTTGGTCTACCTCTGGGTCCATTCCGGCCTCCAGAAGGCAACAGACACAGGTAAAAGTTCTTGCCCGGTGCCTCTTTATAAGAACCTGTTGATTGTCTACCTGCCTCCTTAGTGTGAGTTTTGAGTGTGGAAGAGTCTGTTTGGGTGTTCAGTCAGATTTATTGCATTATTTTGATTTTATTGTCTAGCTTGACTGTTTGGAGGAAAGGGAATTGCATCCGCCTGAAAAGTGCTGGGAATGTTTGTTATTGTCTAGCTTGACTGTCTGGAGGACAGGGAATTGCACCCACCTGAAAAGTGCTGGGAATTTTTGTTATTGTCTAGCTTGACTGTCTGGAGGACACGGAATTGCATCCGCCTGAAAAGTGCTGGGAATTTTTGTTATTGTCTAGCTTTACTGTCTTGAGGACAGGGAATTGAATCTGTTTTTAACCCTCTATCTCTCTTTGAAGGGATACCTGGTATATTGAGAATGGGACAGGAATATGCTAAACCCCGGAAAGGGTACTTAGCTTGGGATTTGGTAAAGGAAAGGGCTGGTGAGGAGGCTATGCTTAAGGTGAAAAAGATCTCTAAGATCTGTGGTGTTTCAATGTCTCCCAGAGGCTATTTACAGCCTGAGTTTTGGAGGAAGTTGTTGAAGGATAAGGAGGGATTGCTACTCGATAACGGGTTGACTAAGGCCGCAGAGGTTTGGTATCGTGTGGCAAGAGGCCTTAAACGAGAGGGTTGGTTTGAGGAGGAATTGGAATTTGCTGGACAGAAAGTTTATGTGTACTATGCAAATGTTTGTACTGATGATTCAACTCCCGATGTTCCCCGGCCACTGCCCTATGATGGCGTCCGACATAACGATGAGAGTAACCCCACCCCCACTGCCCAACACGCCCTCTCACATACTCTAACTGACACCGCCCCCTCAACGCCGCCCACCCCATTGCAACCTGTCCATGGAGTTGATAGCTCGTATTATTACCCAGTCCCCATTCCCCCTCCCACCCCTGTACTTGCTCCTTTTCCCTCCGCCCCTCCTTCGATTCCCGGCTCAGTTCCACTTCCCGCCCCAGTCTCTGCTCCACCTCCCGTACCTGCCCCTGTTTTGCCTTTCGTTCCCGTTTCCACTCCTCCTCCTCCTATTTCCGTCCCTGTCCCTCCTCCTGTCACAGCTCCTGCTCCACCCTCCATACCCGCCTCCGCTCCTCCTCCTTCCATTCCCGCCCCTGCCCCACCTCCCGCCATCAATCTCTCCATTCCCGCCCGCGAACCACCTCCCTGCGTCATCCCCGTCGTTGCTACCCTGGCTCCTCCCCTCCAACTCGCCCTGTCTGTTCCCTCCCCATATCCATCTCCCGCCCCCGCATCCTCTGATGTATCGCCCTTTGCTCCCGCCCCTTTCGCCTATGTTTCCCCTGATGTTCAACTGATTCTGACACTCCAGTGGCACAAGCCCCGAATTCACCAGATGTATCCAATTATCATGGATTACCGTTCCCCGCTCCCGTGGGTAACAGTCAAGGGGTTGGGTTCACCACAAGTCCCTAACAATACCCCCCCAACCGCTCCCTGCCCCAACAAGTCATCCCGGCGTCCCACCAGGTGGAGCCCTTCTGATGTATGTTACCTTCAACCCATCCCAAGCAGCAACTCTAGTAACATCCATCCCAGACCCTGAGAAACAGCCCATGCCCTACTTCCGCAGGTTTGCCCAGATTCGTAAGACATATTCAGCTACCTGACGTGACTTATCTAGCCTCTTTGAAATCAAAGCCGGTGATGCATATTGGTCTATTATGGAAAGGAGCTTTGATGATGCTCGTCTCCTTACTGATACTGATTTCTATTCGGGCATAACATTCTGTGAACAATTTCGTACTTGGGCACAGGATAAACTGGCTGACCAAGCTACTTGCATTAATGATATTGTTCAGTTGAGTCTGTGGAAAAATATCACTCAAGGTTAACATAGACTTTCTATGATTTGGGTTTCAGCATTTACAATAAAGCACATACCCAGATGCTGTCATCTGCCTTTGTTGCAGGCTTACAGGAACCCATCAGAAAGAGCCTAACCCTATCACGCCCAGCATACAGGATTATTCTCTTGGTTGCAAAAGGTCTAGAGTCAGCATTGTTTTCCTTTTATAATCCTGACATCCAACCTGCCCCAGCACCTCCTGGGTTTCCAGTGCCTACGCCACAGAGACACCCTGTGTCTCAGGCTCCAAAATCTCAATCCAGAGCCTGTTATACACGGAGTGCAGAATTATTAGGCAAGTTGTATTTTTGAGGATTAATTTTATTATTGAACAACAACCATGTTCTCAATGAACCCAAAAAACTCATTAATATCAAAGCTGAATATTTTTGGAAGTAGTTTTTAGTTTGTTTTTAGTTTTAGCTATGTTAGGGGGATATCTGTGTGTGCAGGTGACTATTACTGTGCATAATTATTAGGCAACTTAACAAAAAACAAATATATACCCATTTCAATTATTTATTATTACCAGTGAAACCAATATAACATCTCAACATTCACAAATATACATTTCTGACATTCAAAAACAAAACAAAAACAAATCAGTGACCAATATAGCCACCTTTCTTTGCAAGGACACTCAAAAGCCTGCCATCCATGGATTCTGTCAGTGTTTTGATCTGTTCACCATCAACATTGCGTGCAGCAGCAACCACAGCCTCCCAGACACTGTTCAGAGAGGTGTACTGTTTTCCCTCCTTGTAAATCTCACATTTGATGATGGACCACAGGTTCTCAATGGGGTTCAGATCAGGTGAACAAGGAGGCCATGTCATTAGATTTTCTTCTTTTATACCCTTTCTTGCCAGCCACGCTGTGGAGTACTTGGACGCGTGTGATGGAGCATTGTCCTGCATGAAAATCATGTTTTTCTTGAAGGATGCAGACTTCTTCCTGTACCACTGCTTGAAGAAGGTGTCTTCCAGGAACTGGCAGTAGGACTGGGAGTTGAGCTTGACTCCATCCTCAACCCGAAAAGGCCCCACAAGCTCATCTTTGATGATACCAGCCCAAACCAGTACTCCACCTCCACCTTGCTGGCGTCTGAGTCGGACTGGAGCTCTCTGCCCTTTACCAATCCAGCCACGGGC